TTGAGGGCAGGATTATTTGTAAAAAAATCCCAAGTAACAGTTGGACTATTATCAATTTCAGCCATTTGAGGGGCACCAATGTAGATACAGCTTCAGAAGACAGAAGGCACTATACTAACATGTGTACTGCTACCCTTATTCCTTAGCTCCATATTTAAATAAATTAGTTTTAGAAATAATTTCTTTTACATACTTGATGTTTAAAGCCATAAAAATCTTCAAGATTTTCTAATGTTCACTGCAGACCCCTAATCGGGATAGAAACTGGCAGGGGTGCCTTCAGATATCCTGCACTTAAGTTACTAAGAATTTCATAGTTTCTTCTTTTCATTTGTAGTAGGCACTTGGGAAAGTCCTTTGGCCTTTCGTTTGTCCTCAGAGCATTGCTAAGACCTGTATTTGTGGGGACTGGGGGTGGGGGAGGTTTACTTCAGCTTTTAAGGTAATAAGCTTGCTAAGCAACAGCCTATCAAGTTGTTTTAGTCTGCTCACGCTGCTAAGACAGTAAATAAATTTATTTTTTACAGTTCTGGAGGCTGGGAAGTGCAAGATCAATGCACTGGCAAATTCAGTGTCTGGCAAGGGCCCACTTCCTTGTTCACAGATGGCTGTCTTTTCACTGTAACCTCACGTGGTAGATGAGACAAAGGAACTCTCTCTGGGTTTCCTTTAAAAAAGGTACTAATCCCATTCGTGAAGACTCCATACTCATGACCTACTCACCTCCCAAAGGCCTCATTTCCTAGTACCATCACCTTGGGGGTTAGAATTTCAACATATGAATTTGCAAGAGGGGACACATTCAGACTATAGCACAAGTGTTCTTGTTGAAATTGCAAGAAAATTCCCTACACCCATGTATTACCCATGGTAATCCAGGTAATAGACTGATGTGACTCAACCCAACAGTTGTTGGGAATTCTAAGAGTCCTTAGAGGAGTTCTTTTCTTGGTCCACTTTCTTGGAACCTCCCACATCTAGTCTTTAGACTACTTTCCAGGCTCAAAGTTGCTGGTGTCAGGATTTTTCTTTTCCTTACCCTTTGTCCCTGTATTTCTCAACATTCATTCCTACCCTTCTATGCCTCTGCATGTAGACTATATTTTCTTCTTGACTCTCAAAATGCTTCTGATGCTCCACCAAAAAATATCCCATTAAAAGCAAACTGCAAGATTTTATAACAAAAATTGCCTTAGGGGACCAACAAGTTTGGCTCCAAAATTTAAGATTGTATGATCTCTGCTCCATGGTGAAAGGGAAGTGTTTCCTTTCCATACTAGGGAAAATGTCCTTTCCTCTCCCTCCCTTTGCTCCCCTTCCACCTACTCTACCCTCAAATAAAATAGGCCAATAGACCTTAGGCAGCTGAGAGTATAGAATATTTGAATTTACATATCAAATCTTGTTTAATATTTATATTCTAGTACAGAAGGCCCTCAATAATTATACTAAAAAAAAAAAAAAGAAATCACCAACTATTACTCAGGTTAATACAAAGGGTCTTCAAAAATTTCATGGAAAGATTTGTATTATCTTTTAACTTTATTTTTACAAAAAAATTTTGAAGTACTGTTGTACTTCTGTTTGGAAATTTGAGAAAGGAAACAGGATCATTTGGAATTATGTACACATTTAAAAAAATTAAACCACCTATGAAAATATATTTTTAGGGGTAACTGAAGATTCAATTGTGGTGACCTTAGGAAGTTACTTAACCTCTTTAAATCTGAGTTTTCTTATTTGAAAAATGATGATAAAAATATTTTCCTTAAAGAGTACATGTGAGAATAATGGAGATCATCTATATAAATAACTTTTTATAGTTCCTGGAAAGCACTAAAAACTCAATAAAATTTTAAAATGATGCTGACGGTGATGATATGCTCTTTTTTTTTTGTCTTTTTTCATGTCCGGCAACAGACCGCAACCCTCAGTGTCGCGCCCATACTGGACCGGGACCGGCAACGGGATTGCAACCCTCGGTGTTGCTCCCACGCCTCGCTCAGCCAGTGAGCGGGAACCGGTCTGCATGTGGGATCCGAACCCTCAGCGGGAGCGCCACCGTGCTCCCAAGCGGCGCACTGTAGCAGTGCGCCACCGGGCCGGCCCAATGATATGCTCTTTTAGTCAAGTAACCACACATATTTTTACTTTGAATTAAAAAAAAAAAAGTGGTTGAGTCAGGGCAAAAATCTTGTTTTCTCTCCCAGGAAACTTCATTGAATTGTATCATGTGGGAGGAAAAATACACATCAAGGTTTAAGGGCAAATATGAAGAGTAAATGGTAAATCAAGGAGCTTACATTTAGTTCCTAATATACATATGCTCATACTATAGGGTGTAAAACTGGGTAGTATACAGTATTATCCCTCACAGAGCTTAAAATCTAGTTGGAGGATATGATAAATACTAAGTCTGCTAAAATGCCTTAGCTTCTTCAGTGTGACAAATGACTGATATGACAAAAAAAAAGTTGAAGAAAGCATATGTTCATGCAGCCACCCAAATATTTGCCCCTTACGTTAACATGACTCACTTTATTGCCAATAAATTGGGATTTCTCAGACCATGGCAAATATTGATTCAGAAGTCCCTAACTCTCTGTCACCCTTTCAGGGCTAAGGGCAGACACATTCTTTTATGTTACAAATTCGGACATTAGTGTCTCCAGTAAAGAGTAATGCCCACTATTCTAAGTCCCTTGGTATTACTACTTCATTGATTGAACTACATTTCTGATATTGTTGACTAAAATGTTTTGGTTCCTGCACACTGCCACAGTCCAGGAAACCTGCCTTTCTGGATATATAAAACAGAAACAAAACAGATAATTAATGCACAATTGGGGAAAAATAAGGCAGCCTTTGAAAATGACATAGGTTGATATTAATGCAGCCCTTACACAGATTAAAAGGGAGCTCTCTTTGGTCGGGAGAATCTGGGAAAAATTTAATAAAAAATTGCCATGTAAGCTTAGCCTTGAAACACAGGTAGAATATCTATAGGCAGAAAAAAGGGTAGAGAAAGCAGATAGAAGAGGATGTGCTCAATAGAGTTTGGCTTCAGACAAGTAACAAAGAGTAGGAAGACAATTGCCAAAGCCAGACACAGTACTGGAGCCAGTGAGATGCTTATTTTAAAACCATACGGTATTGTTTGTTGGACACAATGACTGTAATATGGAACATTACAACTAATTTAAATCTTTATCTCAAGCAATAATGGCCCCTCTGGGCTCCAAGGTCTCATTTAGAATCACCCTGGGGACTCCTCCCCAGCCCACCTAGGGTCAGTACCCTATCTGTCTCCTTCAGGACTGAAAAGTCCTTCTGGAAAAGCAGGCTTTACATGCGTGTTCCAGGTTTTATTCACATCTTAATGTGATACTGTTATAACAAATAGCTTACTGTGTATAATCAAGCACTAAGGCAGGCTTATTTCTAATTCTCAGACTAACATCCCAAGGTGGGCATTTTTACCCTGATTTAACAGTTGAGGAAAGAGAAGTTTAGGAACATGAATGGACTCATGTAAAGCCACTAAACTAAAGTTTGTACTTTTAACAGAAGTCTGCCTGATTTAAAAATTCAATCCCATTCTACTCTGCTGGCTCTTAACCAGTGGTGTACATTTGAATTACCTAGAAATTTTAAAAATTAAAACATTTAGTTTTTAATCAAAGAAAAACATATACAAAGTTAAAAAGAAATAATACTGTTAGAGTGGTAGTGAAAAACAGCAAGCCTTTGTCTTTTCTCTACCCACTCCTGATTTCCTTTCTCTCGAGACCACTTTTAACTCTCAGCTGTTTCTAATTGTAGTCTTTTCTGGAAAATATGTTTATATTGCTTTTTCTAGACTTCTAATTATTAGATCTTGATCGACTCACCACCATTACACACCCGTCTCTCTCTCCCATCTTCCTACTGTTACATAATTACTTCTTGTTAAATCAGTATTCGTACTTACATATTTTTAACTAATTTACATGACTGGTATTTTTCACATTTGAGGTATGCAGTGTAGTTCTTGAATTTATTTTTTCTGGGTTCATAATTACCTGTCTTGTTTTCTCAATTTTGTAAAACCTGCAGAACTCTAATTCATCCCCAGATTCTCTGAAAAACGAAAAATCTGAGATCTATATTCAAATACACCAGGTACTTTCAGTTTTTCTTTTTGACACATCCCACCTGAACTCTCCATCTTTAGCATTTCCTTTTAACTTCATGCTGTTCTCCCTTAGCACCCTCCTTCTTTAATACAATGTTACTGTTTTAGAAACCTTATGGCTACCCTGTAATAAAATGTCTTTTGCCCCCTCAACAGCAGAGTATGTCACTTAATTTTTCACTTTCTAAGGACACTAGAACCGTCCCATTCACTTTCTTCTCCCTCCTTCAACCTTCCCACTTGTCACCTGTATTTTTACATCACATCACATCACATCTGTATTTTACTTTGCAACCATAATTAAGTATTCCCTTAAAACATGAAACCATAAACACCATTTGCATTGTTATGATTATTTAAACGTTATTCACTGAACAGCCAAGTTCTGAGCTATGACTGGATTCCCTTGTCTTTGGCTCCAAGGTCTTGATCCCCGAACTGCTCATACGGACATTTGAAAGAGAGTCCCTTTTCTTGCATCCCACCATTTGTTCAAAATCATGCAGCATTTTATGGTTGGTGTTTGGAGGATCCTTTTCCTGTAGAGTTTTGTTTTGTTTTTCACTGAAAGATTCTGATTATGTCATTGTTTTCTATTCTGGGATGATGAAAAATATGCCTTCCACATCCAATGCTTTGTACCTTCAGCTTCTGCCTCATTCAAATCTTGCTTACAATCCAACATTCCCAACGTTTAGTGATTTTTTTTTAAACTGGAAATTTTAGCCTTTCTTTTACTAATGCATCCTGTGCCCTTTGTCACATCCTGAAGATCGTCCAGCGTTTGTTTCAAGGACGCACAGCTTCTTAAACATTTTCGCGGTGGTCCTCCGCCGCCGCAATCGCGCACTTGCTCTCCCTAGTGCCCGCTGCCCGCCCGTCCGCCACCCTCCGGGGAGCTCGGCAGGGAGCCCAGGGCGCAGGCGCGCAGTGCGCCGGTCACTCTCGCTAGACCGCCGGGTTCGTCGCCCTCAGCTCCCCGACGCCGCCGCGGGGGCGCCTGGGAGTCGGCCATCATGCCGGCTCCGGAGTCCGGCAGCTTAGTCACGGCTTTAAATGTGTACCTGCAGGCGGATGTTGAGGATCACCGAGCCCGCGACGTAGAAGTACGGGAAGTTCATGCGCAGCTGCCAGGCCAGCTCGAAGAAGGCGAGCAGCGTGCGGGAGAGCCCCTTGCAGAAGGCCGCGTACGCGCTGGGCACCGCGGCCGGGCTCCAGGCTCTGACGGCCAAGGAAGACGGCGCCGCCGCGGGGGCCATGGGCCCGGTGCCGCCGCCCGCCCCGCGCCCGGAGCCGAGGGTCACCGAAGCCTCGCGGACCCCCGGGTGACGGCCGGGACCCAGAGGGACGACAGGCAAAGCGGCCCCGAGCTCCCACCTGCTCCTCCCGCAGCCTCCGCTTCCTCCAAAGAGGCACCGCGGCCCTGGCCGCCCCTCGCGCTCCGCCCCTTCCTGTCCGCCTCTCGGTGGTGTTTACCGTTTAGAACTTAACCAGTGGTAGATCTGGAGCAGCGTGTGTTGTGTAACGTATACCAACAGCCATACAGATATTAATTCCACTTTAAAATGAAAAAGCTAAATTGTGTGAAATTGTTTACTCTGCCCTAGTGCACACAACCTGTAAGGGCCAAAGCTGGGTTACAATTGGGGTTTGTCTGCTATGTGATCTGGGATGTTAGCCAGGAATCTTACCCTTTTGATTTCATAACACTAACTCTAATATTAGGGCAAAAAGATCTCCATATGTAAGTCAGTTCAGACACAACGTCTCTGTATTCATAATGTACCATACTGTAAAGGATCACAATGTTAGGCTATGGATTTCCCTATATATTAGGGCTATTTAAGTTACATGGGACAAAAATTACACACTTAAGCAAAAAAAAAAAAAAAAAAAAAAAAAAAAAAAAAAAAAAAAAAAAAAAAAAAAAAAAAAAAAAAAAAAAAAAAAAAAAAAAAAAAAAAAAAAAAAAAAAAAAAAAAAAAAAAAAAAAAAAAAAAAAAAAAAAAAAAAAAAAAAAAAAGTGTACCCACACACGTACATGTATATACATACACTTTTATTTTTCTTCCCAGAACTTACATGTACAAGATCATATTCCCACCCATTTAAACACATGAGAAGATCAGATTAGGTATGGAAGCTTCAATCATTTCTGCATGGAGATGCACTTGTGAAACTTGTGGCTAGTCTCCAAGGCTTGGAGTACTACTAACGTCTACCTCCAAATCCTTAATACCCTTAGAGTAAGATCACAATGTATCTCCCATAGCCATGGTACTCTTGGTATTTAAGTGATGCACATTTGATTACCTTCACTGATCTCCCATTTTAACTGGAAAGCACTGTGTTTTTTATCTTGCACCACCTTCACATTCACGTGTGGTTTCTGATCATAACCTGAGACTACAGTCTAGTTCTGAAAAGCATTGTTCAAATATCCCATATGTCACCTTGCTCTGCATATCTATAGTACCTATTCAAAGCACAATTACTGTGTCCCAAAGTACCTCTCTGTATCCTACTGATGATATGACTGGTAAAAATAACGTGCCATTGTGAAATTTGTAAAACTTGTGTGTCCTCAATTTTTTCTTTTGCTACGTATATCAATATCACCCCAGCAACTAGACAGAACTTAGAGGAACTGAGTATTTATGACAACTTCTAAAATACTGGTATAGAGATTATAGAGCACCATTAGATGAACGACTATCAACTTTGAAAACCAGGAGAAGACGTATGGTTTTAGTACACAAGTACAATTTACTCTCTCTCAAAATTGAAAGAATAATACGTAGAGCCGTTCAGGATCACAGAAGTCATTAAGTCCCCGAATCTTCCATTTCCAACTACATAAAACTGTGTGGACTCATTCTCTCTTCTACTACTCCTTTGTACCTCCCCCTTTCCCCTCCACCCATCCTAGCTCTGATTAATTCCATGAAAACCCTGTTTTCCACCCTGAGCCCGTGGGGAAAATAGCAGCCACTCACTGATAATATGGCCAGATTGAGGTCCTATTCCAATGAGAAGGGAATAGGCAAGGAAGAACAGTCACAAAGCTCCAAATCCTATTCAGTGCTGTAGCGCTGACAAAGGATTTCCATCAGGTGAACTTGACAATGGAGAGTGGAATAGGACCAATATATTAGATGGCTGTGGTTTTTATTTTGTCCCTTGATCTTTAGATTTGAAAGACTAATCCATATTTCTTTCCAATAGCCACATATGAGCAAGCTCTCAACAATAACACGTCTTAAGCCGTGTCTCTGGATGATATTTCATTGACTCTTGGCTTTCTTTTTCTAATCTTCCTTATTCCACTATTTTTGACTCTATATCCTAGTTTTAATACTTTTTAATGGGTTGTTTACTTGAGCCTTTGGAAAAATTTTAAAGCAAGCTGCTGTGGGTCTACAAAATACCATATTTCCAAATTCTCAATTCCTTTTTGGAGAATTTGCTTATATAAGTTCTCTATTATGTAAGAAATACATTCAGAAAGCAAGGGTTGCATTCAAATATCCAAGCTAAAGGTAGGAAAAAAATTGCAAATCAGAGAAAGAAAGTCTGTCCCACATTTGCATGCTAACAAATTGAGTTCAACCATTCAATAATCATCACACGCAGATACTGCTTGAAGTATAGTAAATCTCTTCAAAGGAAAACAAACTATCAAATGATACCAATGATTTGATTCCACAGCAACACTGGGCAGATACTGGATCAAGACTACAATCGAGCACTGGGTGTGTCATACTAAAGCAGACCACCAGTTGTAACATTAGAAATTAAGATTTTTCTCTATGTATGCTAATTATAAGGAAGGATATTTTGCTGATGGTGGTATTAGGTAACTTCATGATTGGAATGTTTGGTAATGTCTTGATTTTATTGGTTAATTGCATTGACTGGTTCAGGCATTGGAAGATCTGTTTAACTGACTTTTCATCAGTTTAGCAATACCCAGAATTTATCGCTGTGCTATTACATAATATTTTTATACTCCTGTTCATACCACATCATTAACTTGTGCTAATGCCAAACTGGAAAAAATGTACTATTTCCTTTTGGTCACTGATAATCATGCAACCCTCTAGTTTGCTATCTGCCTAATAATTTTCTTTGGGTTCAAGATAGCTACTTTTTTTTTTCAACCATTATTTTCTCTGGATGAGGTGTAGAATTAATCCTGTGTTTTTTATTATTTTGATGGAGTCTTTGATTTATTAACATTCCACTGGAAATAAATTCAATGTTTTATAGAGGCCTGTTACTAAAATGTGAAAAGAGAGACACATGAGACCATGAAAGCGATAATCTCTCTTATTTTTCCCTTTATCACATCTATTTTTCAATTTTTATGGCAAATTTGATTCACTTTCTGGTAAAAGCCAGCTGCATGTGATGCTTTTATAGACAGTAGCAGTCTTCTACCTTTCTGGTCCTGGTCACTTGGTGGTTCTGATTCTAGGGAATAGAAGCCGAGACTATCCTCATGATAATGCTGTAGAAGATTATATTCTGTTTGACATGATGGAAAACCTTGGTTCTGTGAAAGCCTTGACAAAAAATTTTTTTGGCACTAGAAAAAAAGAAATCAAGTAGAAGTCTATATAAGAAACTCTTTCCTTTTTTTTTTTTTTTTGCCATGGCTTTAATATGTATAATGCATACTTTGGCATCATTGTAACTCTCACTACAACATTCTCATAGCTAAACAGCTAAACATATACTCTTATTTCCACATTTCCAGGAAGACTTTCCTTCTCTGTTCTCCCTCTCTCCACCTCTCTTTGAGATAATGGAGCATACCTAATAAGTCAAGTTGTTAAGATCTATTCTATTCTTGGTTACAAAGATCTATTCTAGTCTTGGTTACAAAGGCCAGAGAGACTGCATGAGAAATGGCCTATCTTTGGATCTTTCACTAAAAATTAAAAAAAAAAAATCAAAAGTTTGCAAACCATGCATGTGGAAGAATATATGCATTTATGCATGTATTTTGAAAAATAGTTTGAGAATTCTGCTAATTTTTGTGAGGTACAAAACCGCAAGAGAATGTTGCTTCTTATGTAAGAGGGAGACAGGCTACAAAGTCATAATTTATTTTGAGCATATTAGAGCTGAGGTTGCAAGGTAAGCAGGTAAACTGAATTGTGAAATATGATAAGTCCTTCCAAGTAGGACACACGAACTGTTTCATCTTTAGTAGAACTCAGGAAGAAGAGGTATTTGCCATAAAGGTAGGTAAGAGGAAAATGGCTAAAATTTTAACCAATTCTTGGAAAGATTGAGTGTAGGTTAGTGTGTCAGTTTAGAATCCCTGGAAGCCCCAGATACAATAGTAATCTGTAATTGCCGGCTCTTTTCCCTGGGCTTAACTAGTAAGACTGGGTATAGAGAGGAGACCTAAGAAAGCCCCCTTTGTGGTACATGGCAGGGTATGAAGAATAATGGCTCCTCAAAGGTGTCCATTTCCTAATCCCTGGAACCTGTTAATATGTTCCCTTATGTGGCATAGGGACTTTGCAGATATGATTAAAGGTATACATTTTGAGATGGGAAATTATCCTGGATTGTTTAGGTGGGTCCAATCTAATCAACATGAGCCCTTAAAAGCAGAGATTCTTTCTTAGCTAAGGTCAGAGAGAGATGTGACTATTGAATAAGGGTCAGAAAGATGCAAATTTTCTGCTTTTGAAGATGGAGGAAGGGGGCCACAGGCTAAGGACTGTAGTGGTTCCTAGAAGCTGGAAATGGCAAGGAAATAGATTCTCCCCTAGAACCTCCAGAAAGCAATGCAGCCCTGCTGATACCTTGATTTTAGCCTAGTAAGACCTATGCCAACTTCTGATCTATAGAACTGTAAGCTGATTTGTGGTGTTTAAGCCACTAAATTTGTGGTAATTTGTTGTAGCAGCAACAGAAATCTAAAACAAATGGGAACAAGGCCTTTTTAAGTTTGAAGGTGGAACAGTAGAAACCAGAGAAGCCCATCTGCGCTCTAGACCCTGTGTGTGTAAAGAGTGGTTGTTGTCTACTGCTGAGGGACAGGCAGGAAAACGGCTCATGTCCTGGATCTTCTTTATTAAGCAAAATCTGTCTGCTACTGAGTGAAGGGCAGGGAATCCACTGTAACTTGGCTCCTACTGTAATATCAGGCAAAAGCTGATTGGCACAAGGGGAGGGGTAAGAAACCTACCTGCATCCTTGGATCTACACTGATACATGTTAGAGGTCTGCTGCCATGGGGAGGATGTGTGCTCTGGCTCCCACACCGACACTGGACAGAAACCTCTTCCACTGAGGGAGGGAACAAACCTGTTAACCCTAGACTGCCTGGACCTGGAAA